GAAGTTTCTATCTATGCTCAGTACCACTAACTGCAAGCATGTAAATAATCACAATATAGGTTGAAGTTCCTTATGTATCCATTGTCTGTGTATAGTTATGCTCAATAATAACCCACATGGAGACAGAAGCTCAGGAGGTTAACTGATCTGTATATTAACCCTCTTCTGGGATCCTCTTCAGTTGAAGAGGATTACAGAAAGGGATTAAAATATACAAAATATAAAATGTACTGATTAATTAACCCTTTCAGGGTCCGTGCTGTAGATCTACGGCTTTACGTTCAGGGTCCAAACCGTAGATCAACGGCTTGAGCTCAGCTCACTCTGATAAGTTGTGAGCAGTAAATTTGAGCCTAGATATGAGAGAATACATCTATGTGGTATGTGTGCACCACATAAAACAAATCCTGCAGCACACAGTGCATAATGAGAGAAAAAAAACTGAGACCGTAATTTTCGATTAAAACAGCGACTTTGCAGTGTTTTTTCGTACAGTAGGGCCCCGCTTTATGGCATTTCGCTTTACGGCGTTCCGCTAATACGGTCATTTCAAATTATGACCAAAACTCGCTATACGGCTCCCCCCACCTGCTTTTCTAATACGGTCACCGCGCCCCACCCAGTTTGTTTACATTCTCTGTGAGATCCGTAAGCACTAAGTCTCTCCATTATGTCTGGAAAGTGTTTTTAAAAGTTATTTCATATTTTATATATACTCTGATAGTTATACTTATGTATACCTGTACTTAAATAAACTTACATACTGTGCTGGCATGCAGGTACACATTAAACTCAGTGTGTTTTATGTCTCCAGACGTCATAGTAATGATAATAATAATCACCGAGTCTCATTTAAATGTTGTATATTACGTTAATATACACATTTTCATTAATCCATCTATGATATTTTTTCAAAATTATATAATAAACATGATACATAAAATATAAAGATGATAAATACACCCCACAATAGAATAAATAAACATAAATATGAGATGTGGTAGCCAGATAACTTGTACAAGTGACACCAAGAATAACATTTTCTCTAATCTAACATAAGAGATAATGTGTTACTAGGGGTAACTATAGAAAATTATTCCTTTCGTATGTAAGTAAGTAAGTTTATTCAGGTATACACAAATACAGTTACATAGATTATCATACATAACAGCATATGTGTAGAGAACCCAAGATAACCCAAAAAAGTCAGACAGAGTGACTTATTTCCATTGCCTTCACTCAGAGTGTCATTTCTTCTCAAAATGATGTTACATGAGAGTGGGAGTGTTCTTCTTTATTTATTCTACCGTATCAATGTAGAGACAACCTGTACACAATGTAACTTGTACACAAACTAGATGTGTACACTTTGTTTACAAAACTTACCTTCGCCTGGTTTGTTTACATAACTCTGCACCTGTCCTCTCTCATGCACTCATTCTCTCTCTCTCATTTATTCATTTTATCTCATTTACTTACTCCTGACCCTACATTAAGACTACAGATATTTTAAGGTAAGTAATGAGTGAACTGTATATACATTTTATCACTCTGGGATGCTTAAATATCATAGAATATATGTGTAGGTGGGTTGGCCTGGTATGGTAGCCCGGCTGGCTACCATACATACCACACTTGATTTCTTACAATAAATACTACTTGTCTCACCCTAGATTAAGACTATAAATATTTTAAGGTAAGTAATGAGTGCACTATGTGTGTATTGTACTTTTTTATTGTTTTTTGATGCCTAGTTCTATTGCTAGCTTAATATATGTTAGTGTAAACTTGTTATCTAGTATTTGTATGCATTTATAAGTGGAAAAAAAGGGTGTTCCACTTTACGGCGATTTCCGCTTTACAGCGGCAGCCTGGAACCTAACCTGCCGTATAAGTGGGGCCCTACTGTATGTTTTTTATAGTTGTATTTGCAATTTCTTGGTCTCATTTGATAGAATGGAAGATATATTATAGAAATAGAGATGAATTTGAATGGTTTTAGTAATGAAAATGGCTTGAAACTGAGCTCAAAGTAGCAAAAATGTTCAATTTTTGCCAATTTTCAAGAGTAAACAAATGACCTAACAAGTCTAATACACACCAGTTGGTGGGTCTAATATACATTCACAAATGTGGTGATATTATTTATACAATTATTACAGTATTGCATAACAGTAAATCTTCTATTTTTTGGTTTGAATAAAAATGCATTATGTGAATAAAAAATCAAAATGGAATTCATTTGTAAAGACTGAAAACATAACTAATGAACAGAGGAAATGTTAGTTTAGTGCCAGGAATGCCTGCATTGTTTATTCTGGACCCTATTTTGAAATTGGAATATTTTGAACTTTGCATTAAATTGGCCAAATTACCAATTTCCGGTCACTTTATTTTGTTGTTGAAACAGTTGACTTTGCGATTTCTTGTGCTCAATCGATAGAATAGAAGTAATACTAGTGAAATAGCTAAGAATCTGGTTGACTGGAATAGTGTAATTGGCCTAAAATGGGAGTCAAAGTCGGCAAAATCGCCGATGCGTAAATATCACCGACACATCAAAATTCGCGAGAGCATAATTTCATAAATTTTCAGTCAAATTTCGTACTTTTTGTTTTATTACCTTCAGAAAAACGTTCTCTACCATTTCATAAGAAAAAATAACAAAATTATTTTTTGAAAATTCTTGGACCCTGGTGCACACTTCGAAATTTGGCCTCTGGACCCTGAAAGGGTTAATCTCCTGAGTTTCTGTCTCCATGTGGGTTATTATAGAGTACTGGAAAGTGCTCATTACACTTTTAGTTATTCATATACAGTTATGTATACTGGAATGCCATTAAGTATTTCTATTGTGCTGCTCAGGTCCACCATGTCCTGGTGACCAGGAACTCAGGGCCACCTTGTCCTGGTAGCCAGAAGCTCAGGGCCACCCTGTCCTGGTGGCGGGAGGTCAGGGCCACCTCATCCTGGTGGTGGGAGCTCAGGGCCATCTTCCATTGGTAGCCAGGAGCTCAGGGCCACCTTGTCCTAGTGGCCAAGAGCTCAGGGCCACCTTCCCCTGGAAGCCAGGAGCTTAGGGCCACCATGTCCTAGTGACCAAATGCTCAGGGCCACCTTGTCCTAGTGGTCAGGAGCTCAGGGCCACCTTGTCCTAGTGGTCAGGAGCTCAGGGCCACCTTGTCCTGGTGGCCAGGAACATGACTAGTGGCAGTGTGTGAGGTAAAGGAACTTGCTGACCAATACAACATTATCCCATAAATATAAGTAGTTTCATTACAGAAACAAGGTAAACTATGTAGATAGTGTTTCATTTTGTGCAAATAGCTGAGATGTAGAGTTTAATCCACATTTTTTATGAAAATGTTTGTTTAAAGGTTGTGTGTGTCATAGGAGTCTTCTGATGCCTCTCACCATGGTGCCTCTACTCACCATGGTGCCTCTACTCACCATGGTGCCTCTACTCACCATGGTGCCTCTACTCACCATGGTGCCTCCACTCACCATGGTGCCTCCACTCACCATGGTGCCTCTACTCACCATGGTGCCTCTACTCACCATGGTGCCTCTACTCACCATGGTGCCTCTACTCACCATGGTGCCTCTACTCACCATGGTGCCTCCACTCACCATGGTGCCTCCACTCACCATGGTGCCTCTACTCACCATGGTGCCTCTACTCACCATGGTGCCTCCACTCACCATGGTTGCCTCCACTCACCATGGTGCCTCTACTCACCATGGTGCCTCCACTCACCATGGTGCCTCCACTCACCATGGTGCCTCTACTCACCATGGTGCCTCTACTCACCATGGTGCCTCTACTCACCATGGTGCCTCTACTCACCATGGTGCCTCTATCCCATGGTGCCTCTACTCACCATGGTGCCTCTACTCACCATGGTGCCTCTACTCACCATGGTGCCTCTACTCACCATGGTGCCTCTACTCACCATGGTGCCTCTACTCACCATGGTGCCTCCACTCACCATGGTGCCTCCACTCACCATGGTGCCTCTACTCACCATGGTGCCTCTACTCACCATGGTGCCTCTACTCACCATGGTGCCTCTACTCACCATGGTGCCTCCACTCACCATGGTGCCTCCACTCACCATGGTGCCTCTACTCACCATGGTGCCTCTACTCACCATGGTGCCTCCACTCACCATGGTGCCTCCACTCACCATGGTGCCTCTACTCACCATGGTGCCTCTACTCACCATGGTGCCTCTACTCACCATGGTGCCTCTATTCTTTCTGGTTGTATGAGATACCTGTGTTACTACCTATTTTTTATTTTTTTTAATGGTTTGTGTGTAAACATTAAGATATTAGTTGTATTGTAGTGTGCTGACTATAAAGACATTCTAATTTTGTAGAACCCTACTAATTGTTTCTAAGGGTCTTCATAGTCCCATTGGAAACAGGCAGAATACTACCTGGAGGGTGTTCTGGGGGTCAATGCCCCCTACAGTCCAATCCATGACCAGGAATATTAAGCAGAATTTATACTCTGTCACATTAGTTTTAAAATATGGGAACATATACTTTAAATAAAACTTGTGCTATTTTAACCAATCGGTAATTCATTAGTGTAATTTATGTCCTGAAAAATCTGAACCTGATTAAATCCATGCTCATGCTATTTATTTATAAAACATATAAAATAAAATCTGTAGAATACTTGCACACATAATAATTTGCTAAAATATGAAATTGAGGTTTGGTATATCGTACATAATCTAATACAACAACCAACTTTTTTTGCTGATAATCTTCAAATCTTGGTTAATTTCTCATGTAACTTGTAATAACACGATTACAAACAAACCATGGAATGGGTGGAATTTGAACCCATGGCAAGTGAGTCTTAAAACTCTAGGTCAGTGGCCTACACACTGGCCTGAAGTTTTAAGACTCACTCGCCATGGGTTCAAATCCCACCTATTCCGTGGTTTGTTTCTGATATAGGATTACTTATTGTTTCCTTCTCATACCTTCCTTGTTTCCTTCAGTAATAGCACAACGAAGGTGTTGACCATCGTCAGGTCTATTTAACACAGTTAATCTCTTCACCAGAGTGCCCACACCAGCATTCTCTAACACCTCAACAGAGAACTGTGTGTCGGTAAATGTTGCCCAAGCCTCAACACGTGCTGGAGCTTCTCTCATCCTCTCTATCGACACTGAAGCTGTTGAGGTGGTACTCAGCTGAGGTTCTCCTCCGTCTCGAGCAACAATCTGTAGCTGATGGTCAAGAAGTAAAGAGTGCTATACACATATGGTTACACCATACACAAACAGCCTGCACATACAAGAAAGAAACTTATGACAACGTTTCAGTCCAACTTATACCATAATTAGTCTCCTATATGCGGGTTATTTCTGTACTGTTCCAGTAATGGTACTGTACCTTTTTATTCTGTATATAAAGTAAAAGGACACAAGTGCAACTAATGTGACATTTTATTGTGCAATGTTTCGCTCTCCAGGAGTTTTATCAAGCTCCTGGAGAGCGAAACGTTGCCACAATAAAATGTCATATTAGTTGCACTTGTGTCCTTTTACTTTACATATTGTCGGTAATTCTACCAACTTTATTATATTCTGTATAATTATGCTATATATACAGTAATTACTGTTTCTTGAGAATGTGAGAGATAACATGAAAAAGAACATGGACTTTAATTACCTTTCACAGTTGTTAAACTGCTCTGAACCTATAATGTCATATAGCACCTAGGGCATGTGAGGTAATTAAGGCAAGTCCAATTCCTTGGATCAAGAGCACTTCACCAGGATAATGGAAAGAAAATACCAGAAAAATAGAAATATGAGGGGAAGGGGGTGTAGGGAAAGCAACTCCCCACAGACTATGAAAATGAAAAATTTCATGACAAAAACTATTCAGGGCAGAATCATTGGTTATTTGTGTTTGAAATGGGTTAGTGGATTTAATTTTATATATCAGAAAGACTTCAGCATAATTTTTATAGCTTTTTGTATTATTTTATTCTGAATATAGTGCTGATATGGAAGTCAGTGCACTTACAAATAAAGTCAAGGTAAATTTTATTTACACCCTCCCAGAAAATTGCATCCTACAGGCCTATGACTGGAAAGTAAAGAATAAGCAACACAAATATTCAATGAGATATTATCACTGTCATGCAGGGATGAGCAGAGTTAACATGAGGTCAAACTTACATTATCACAGACATGCAGAGATGAGTCTAGTTAACATGAGATCAAACTTGCATCTTCATAGACAAGCAGAGATGAGCATAGTTAACATGAGATCAAACTTACAATATCAGACATGCAGAAATAAACAAAGTTAATGTGAGGTCAAACTTACCTCAAAGTCAGAATCTTGTTCAGCCTGAAGATCAGTTTTGATGGTGATTATCCCAGTATCATTTTCAATATTAAAATAATCTGGAGCATTCTTATAGCCCACCAACTCATATTCAACCTATAAGATAACAAGGGAGAGGAGGATCAGTAAAACATTAACAAAGTCACAAGTTCAATAATTAGACACAAACCAAACCACAGAGCGGGTGGGATTTGAACCCACGCCGAGTGAGTTTTATGATTCACTTGCCATGGCTTCAAATCCCGCTCGTTCCATGGTTTGCAACCGTGTTATTATGATTTGGCGAGGCAATGAGAAACAAGTGCAATATCTAGGTATCTTTAGGCTAGTGATAAATGTGTGTGATAATGGCATGAAAAATTTATATGAATGTTGGTCCTGTACTTACTACATTGTTAGGCTTTGTACCATCAGCATCAGAAGCAAGAAGAGTGGCTACCAAGGTACCAGGGGGTGATGCTTCGGGGATGGTAATAGGTCGCAGTGGCATGGTAAACACAGGTGGGTTATCGTTGACATCTTCGACTGTGACCAATACCGAACATGTCGACTAAAAATATAAACAGAGTATGTATTATGAGTAAATAAAAGAAGTAAGGAATCAACTAACACACAGCATACATAATTGGGATGATGACTAAAAAATAATGACACTATATGAAAGAATGAACTGATGATGATGCCCTGATATACATATGTATAATGTGCAATAAGATCACAGTAAACAGGTGATATCACAATATGTAAAATAACCACAGTAAATATGGGTGTAAAATAAAACTATCAGACTATCAATTAGCCATCAATTCACTAAATACATCTGTCTACAATGTTGTTGGGTAGAAGAGTACCTGATCTATATGGAAACAGCTTCGAGGGAGAATTTCATGGTAAGATAAGCAAGATCTCAAGGCTGTATACACAAAATAATTTTTATACATTGATGGTTTCTGGGATCATTGCCTCAGCAACTTGCTCTCACACCAAGACTAAATTAGAGAGGAAGTATTCCAGGAATAAGAACTATTAAGATGTGCACAGGAAAGTAAAGCTAATTACTAATGTGGTTATAATCATAACCATAATTTTTGAAGGGGATGGAGGGGTAAGCCAGTGGAAGGCCTCTGTCAGATGACCAAAAGCTCCAACTGCGGGTCATGATATGACTAAGACCCGCATCAGGAAACACTATGTACTGTTTCCTGACATGGCTTACCTAACCTAAGAGTAAAGGTAAGTGTATAGTAATGTAAGTAGAAGTTTGTAAGATTTACCTGTCATGATGATGAATAAGATATGTACGTACATGTGAAACAGCCAGGTATCTATACTGAGAAACGTTTCAACCATCAATTACTTCATCAACCTAAAATAGAGAAATGAGAACAGAGCCTATAAAAAAGCTCCATTACCATGACTCTGTATTAGATTGATAAATTCCCTGGCAGGTAAAAAATGTTTCTCAATAAAGATACCCAGGTGTTGCACATATGTTGTGTTCATCAACTTGTTGATGTTACAAATCCTCCTCGATTTATGATGGTTTCACTTATGATATTTTAACTTTACGATGATGCAATAGCAATTACTTTGGAGATGAAACTTAACAATTACCCAGTATGAAAGCAGCAAGTCCATAACTTTTTTTTATAAACACGCTGGCCGTCTCCCACTGAGGCAGGATGACCCAAAAAAGAAACATTTTCACCATCATTCACACCTAATCACTGTTTTTGTAGAGGCAGCCAGATATGACAGTTTAGACGTCGCTCCAAACAGTCAATATCTCAACCACCCTCCTTTAAAGTGCAAGCATTGTACTTCCCACCTCCAGGACTCAAGTCCACCTAACCCGTTTCCCTGAATCCCTTCACAAAATATTACCCTGCTCACACTCCAACAGTTCATCAGGTCCCAAAAACCATTCGTCTCCATTCACTCCTATGTAATATGCTCACACATGCCTGCTGTATGTCCAGGTCCCTTGCATCCCTTCCCTCTATCCTTCCCGTCTCTTCCCTCTATCCTTTCCTAGGACAACCCCTACCCATCTTCCCCTCCACTATAGATTTATACACCCTCCAAGTCATTCTCTTTTGCTCCATCCTCTCTAAATGACCAAACCACCTCAACAATCCCTGTTCACACCTCTGACAAATACTTTTAGTAACCCAATACCTCCTCCTAATTTCCATTACACATTGCCCTTAGACACGGCATCTCCACTGCCTCCAGCCTCCTCTTCACTACAACATTCACAATCCATGCTTCACATACTTGTAAGAGTGTTGCTACCACTATACTCCTGTACATTCCCTTCTTTGCCTCCATGGATAATGTTTTTTGCCTCCACAGATACCTCAATGCATCACTCACGTTTTTTACTTCACCAATTCTATGGTTAACCTCGTCTTTCATAAACCCATCTGCTAGCAAATCTACTCCCAAATATCTAAACACATTTATTTCTTCCATACTCCCTCCCTTCATTGTGATATCCAGTTTTTCTTTACCTAACTTGTTTGATACCCTCATCACCTTACTCTCATCTATGTTCACTTTCAACTTTCTTTACACACCCTCCCAAACTTTTCTACTAACCTTTGCAACTTCTCTTTAGAATCTCCCAAAAGCACAGTATCATCAGCAAGAAGTAATTGTGACAACTCTCATTTTGTATTTGATTTCTCATAATTTAATCCCACTCCTCTCCCCAACACCCTAGCATTTACTTCTTTTACAACTTCATCTACAAATATGTTAAACAACCATGGTGACATTACACATCCCTGTCTTAGGCCTACTTTTACTGGAAAGTAATCTCCCTCTGTCCTACACACCCTAACCTGAGCCTCACTATCCTCAAAAAACTCTTTACAGCATTTACTAATTTGCTACCTATTCCATACCCTTGCAACATATGCCTGCCACATTGCTCCTCTATCCACTCTATCATATGCCTTTTCTAAATCCATCAATGCAATGAAAACTTCCCTACCTCTGTCTAAATACTGTTTACATATATGTTTCAATGTAAACACCTGATCTATACATACCTTACCCATTCTAAAGCCTCCTTGCTCATCTGCAATCCTGCTCTCTGTCTTACCTCTAATTCTTTCAATAACTCTATCATACACTTTACTTGGTATACTCAGTAAACTTCTTCCCATATCATTTTTACAGTTTCTTTTGTCCCCCCTTCCCTTTATATAAAGGAACTATACATGCTCTCTGCCAATCCTTAAGTACCTTCCCCTCTTTCATACAATTATTGCACAAAAATGGCAACGACTCCAACAATATATCTTCCCCTGCTTTTAAGATTTCTGTCATGATCCTCTCAGTTCCAACTGCTTTACCCCCTTTCATTTTATGTAATGCCTCATGCACCTCCCCCACACTCACATCTTGCTCTTCTTCACTCCTAAAAGATGTTATACCTCCCTGGCCAAAGCATGAAATTATTACCTCCCTTTCTTCATCAAAATTTAACAGTTCCTCAAAATTTTCCTGCCATCATCCTTAACTTGTATTCATTTATTTACTTTTCTTTACTGATATTTAGTTACAGTAATTATTTGTTTATTTATTCAATAAATAAACAATATTCGACTTACGATACCTATGACTTACAATATTTTCATCGGAATGTAACCTCATTGTAAGCCAAACAGCACTTGTATATACCCCTTGATCTAAAGATTCACCTGTCATCTTACATGTTCATGATGTAGAAAACACCAGTAATTCTACAAAGGGTGAAAAACTCTTAACAGGCTTCCATTTCACACCTGTATGACAGGAGAGTAGTACCTCCTTGGATACCTGCTCTTAACCAACCTACTATCAGAGAGCAAAACATTTAACAAGCTTCTGTTTCTCACACCCATGACAAAACAGTAGTATATCCCCAGATGGTTCCTGCCTACTAACCAAATTCATAAATTTTCAAGCAAGAAAACTGATCACTTAGTGATAAATGAGATAGTTCCTCACTACACCTACACAAATAACAAGCACATAGGAGAAAGAAACTTATGATGTTTCGGTCCGACCTGGACCACTGACGAGTCACACAAGCGTGAAGGGAAGGGAGCCAGTATATACACAAGAGGGGGACAAGGTTGGGAGAATGAGAAGAGGTAGTAGTATAAAGTGGTGGTGGTGTCGATGGCAGTGGCAGTGGTTGTAGTAGTGGTGGTAGTAGTAGTGGTGGTAGTAGTAGTGGTGGTAGTAGTAGTGGCAGTAGTAGTACTGATGGTAGTAGTAGCAGTAGTAGTGGTAGTGGTAATAGTGGAAATGGTGATGGTAGTAGTGGTGGTAGTAGCACTGGTTCTAGTAGTGGTAGTGCTCATAGCAGTAGTGGTAGTGCTGGTGGTAGCAGTGGTAGCACTGTTAGTGCTCGTAGTAGTAGTGGCAGTGCTCACAGTAGTAGTGGTAGTGCTCACTGTAGTAGTGGTAGTATAGTAGCAGTGGTAGTGCTCGTAGTAGTAGTGGTAGCGCTCATAGTAGTAGTGGTGGTAACAGAAGATGGGGTGGTAGTAGTAGTAGCAGTAGTAGCAGCAAAAGTAGTATTGGCAGTAGAAGTAGCAGAAGTAGTAGTGGCAGTAGTAGCAGCAGTGCTGGTAGTGGTGGTAGCGGTAGTAATGCTGGTAGTGGGTAGTAGTAGTAGTAGTAGTAGTAGTAGTAGTAGTAGTAGTAGTAGTAGTAGTAGTAGTAGTAGTAGTAGTAGTAGTGGTAGTAGTGGTAGTAGTGGTAGTAGTGGTACTAGTGGTACTAGTGGTACTAGTGGTACTAGTGGTGGCAGTGGTACTAGTGGTGGTAGTGGTACTAGTGGTGGTAGTGGCACTAGTGGTGGTAGTGGTACTAGTGGTATTTGTGGTACTAGTGGTGGTAGTGGTACTAGTGGTGGTAGTGGTACTAGTGGTGGTAGTGGTACTAGTGGTGGTAGTAGTAGTGGTGGTAGTAGTAGTGGTGGTAGTAGTAGTGGTGGAAACAGCAGTGGTGGTACTAGTAGTGGTAGCAGTAGCGGTGGTAACAGAAGTGGTAGTGGTGGCAGTAGTCATCAAAAGTTTCTGCTACGTGCAAGTTATATGTGTATTGTGCCTTTTCATTCATTATAGTTTCTCACCTGTGGGCCACCCTGAGTGTTCTCCAGTGTACCAACAATAATAGTGTGTCTGGGGGAAGCCTCATAGTCGAGGCCACGAGTTGTAGTGATGCGACCTGTCTCAGGCTCCACACTGAACAACTGGGAATCTCCACTCACCAGGACATATGTAATCTGAAAAAATAAACAAAGTAATATAAATAAGTACATTAAGTCCTCGACTTACAAACACGTTGAGAATCTTCTGTGCTGTGTATATTATTATATCATTACTGTGTACAATATCACTATTATATATTATTATACACAATATAGTAGGTCCCCAACATGTTTGTAAGTTGAAGACTTCCTGAATTATGAATACAGTGGACCCCCAACCAACGAAGGCACTGTCTAACGATAAATTCGACTAACGAAGTGTTTCAGCATAAAAATTTTGGCCCAACCAAAGATGAAAAACTCAACCAACATCATTCGTCCCGAACGTATCCACATGTCCCGTCTGGCCTGAGCACGCCTTAGCTGCCCTGCCTTCAGTTCCTGTGCCAGTGTTTACAAGCCAGTGCTGTCGCTTCCATGCATATATTTGGTACATTTTGTATTATTCCAGTGTTTTTAGTGCTTGTAACTTCTAAGTAAGCCACCATGGGCCCCAAGAAAGCTTCTAGTGCCAACCCTGTGGTAAAAAGGGTGAGAATTACAATTGAAATGAAGGAGGAGATAATTAATAAGTATGAAAGTGGAGTGCGTGTCTCCGAGCTGGCCAGGTTGTATAACAAACCCCAATCAACCATTGCTACTATCTTGGCCAACAGAAAGGCAATCAAGGAAGCTGCTGTTGCAAAAGGTGCAAGTATGTTTTTGAAACACAGATCACAAGTACTAGACAGATGTTGAGAGACTGTTGTTGTTGTGGATAAATGAAAAAGATATCAGGAGATATGTACTATCTCCCCATCCATCATATGTGAAACAGCAAGGCAGTTGCATGACAATTTAATTAAAAAAAAATGCCTGCAAGTAGTGGTGATGTGAGTGAGTTTAAGGCCAGCAAAGGTTGGTTTGAGAGATTTAAGAATCGTAGTGGCATACACAGTGTGATAAGGCATGGTGAAGCTGCCAGTTCAGACAAAAAAGCAGCTGGAAAATATGTGCAGGAATTCCAAGGGTACACAGAGACTGAAGGATTGCAATCCTGACAAGTGTTTAATTATGATGAAACAGGCCTGTTTTGGAAGAAAATGCCAAACAGGACCTACATTACACAGGAGGACACAAGCCTATGAAAGACAGGCTAACCTTAATGTTTTGTAGTAATGCTAGTGGGGATTGCGGAGTGAAGCCTCTACTCGTGTATAACTGAAACTCCAAGAGTGTTCAGGAAAAACAATGTCGTCAAGGCTAATTTTTGTGTGATGTGGAGATCAAACAGTAAGGCATGGGTCGCTAGGGACATTTTCTATGACTGGTTTTATCATGTGTTTGGCCCCACTGTGAAAAATTACCTCCTGGAAAATAAATTGGACCTTAAGTGCCTCCTGGTATTAGACAATGCTCCTGCTCATCCTTCAGACTTGCCAAAGCGAATTTCGAGGGAGCTGAGCTTCATAAAAGTGAAATTTTTGCCTCCTAATACTGCTCCTCTCCTCCAGCCCATGGACCAGCAGGTCATTTCAAATTTCAAAAAACTGTACACCAAAGCAATGTTTCAAAAGTGCTTTGAAGTGGCCTCAGACACTCGACTGACCCTAAGAGAGTTTTGGAAAGATCACTTTAGTATCCTCAATTGCATAAACCTTATAGGTAAGGCTTGGAAGAAACCAACTAACAGGACCTTGAACTTTGTTTGGAGGAAACTGTGGCCAGAATGTGTACAAGAGAGGGATTTTGAAGGGTTTGGGGCTAACCGTGAGGAGCCTACACCAGTTGTGGAATCTACTGTGGCATTGGGGTAGTCCATGGGGTTGGAGGTTAGTGGGGAGAATGTGGAAGAGTTGGTGGAGGATGATGATGAACTAACCACTGATGAGCTGCAAGAGCATCTGCAACAGCAAGAGGTCACAGCTGAGGAAATTGCTTCAGAGGGGAGAGAGAAACTGAAGAAGTTGCCTTCTTCAACGATTAAGGAAATTTGTACAATGTGGACAAAGGTGCAAACCTTTATGGAGGAAAATCACCCTGACACAGTTATTACAAGCTGTGCTGGTGACTTTTACAATGACAATGTTCTGACCCACTATAGGAAAATCTTAAAGGAACACGAGGTACAGAGTTCTATGGACAGATTTTTGGTGCGACAGAGGTCCAGTGATTCTCAAGTTGTTCCCAGTGGCATTAAAAAACAAAGAAGGGAAGTAACCCTGGAAAAGGACTTCCTATCTAAAGATCTCATGGAAGGGGATTCCCCTTCCAAAAATTAACCCTTTCAGGGTTTCCGACGTACTAGTATGGTTTACGCACCAGGGTTATTGACATACTAATAAACGCCTAAATTCTTGCACCTTCAAATATAGCAAGAGAAAGCTGGTAGGCCTACACATGAAAGAATGGGTCTATGTAGTCAGTGTGCACAGTATAAAAAAATCCTGCAGCACACAGTGCGTAATGAGAAAAAAAGAAATCTTTGACTGTGTTTTTGGTTTAAAACAGCAACTTTGCACTGTATTTTTGTATGGTATTCATGGTTGTATTTTAGTTTTCCTGGTCTCATTTTATAGAATGGAAGACATATTACAGAAATTGAGATGATTTTGATTGGTTTCACAATGAAAAGTACCTTGAAATTGAACTCAAAGTAGCAGAAATGTTAAATTTTTGCCAAAGTTCAAAAGTAAACAAATCATGCCACATGTTCAATACACGTTAACTGGTGAGCCTAATATTCTTTCACAAGTGCGCTGATATTAGTTTTACCATTTCTACACTAATGCAGTAGTCTGCGTAACAGTAAATCTTCTACTTTCTGCGAGAATAAAAATTCAAAGTGGAAAGCAAAAGAAATGTAAGAGGGTCCTGGAGACGTGACTAATGAACAGAGCTAATGTTATTTTAGTGCCAGGAATGTCTGTTTTGTTTATTCTGGACCCTATTTGGAAATTGGCATCTTTTGAAATTTGTATGAAATTGGCAAAATTGCTAATTTCTGACAACTTTATTGGATAGTTGAAATAGGTTGTTTCTTGTACTCATTCGATAGAAAAAATGGAGTTCTAGCAAAATAGTTATGATTTTTGTCGACTAGTATACTGGAATTGGCCGAAAATAGAGCTCAAAGTGGGCGAAATCGCCAATGCGTAAACATCATCGAGACCGCTAACTTCGCAAGAGCATAATTCGTAAGTTTTCCATCAAATTTCATACTTTTGGTGTCATTATGATCAGGAAAAAAATCTGTATCTTTTCATAAGAAAAATATTTTTCTTTTTTTGAAAAATTTTCGACCCTGAGAACAAGTTTAGGAGAGGGCCTCTCGGCACTGAAAGGGTTAATACACCACCATCTTTCCTCTTCCCATCATCACTCATCACTACATCTTCAATAAAGGTGTCATTTATTCTTCATTTAGTACAGTACATTATTTATTGTGCATGTATCCTTCTTTTTGTGTGTAGGAAAATATATATTTCATGTGAATTTTTTTTTTCATACTTTTGGGTATCTGGAATGGATTAATTGGATTTCCATTATTTCTTAAGGGAAAAATTAATTCGATTAATGACAAGCTCTCTGGAATGGATTGATATCGTTGGTCTAGGGTCCACTGTATGTATTATATAAATTCAGGTCCCCCCAATGTGTCTGTAATTCGAGGACTTACTGTACTGTGCCTACGCTTTGGAGGAGTGAGAATGATGCAGTTCAGAATGTTATTTGAAATGTGTGTATGCACACTTCTAGCAAGGTAGCTATTGAATGAATGGTGGGGAAAAGTGTTTCCTTTTATGCATCGTGCTACCTTGGGGTGAGATGGCTGATTTTCGTATTGGCAGTTTGGAGGAATATGTTATATATCTTTATTTTTTTTTTTTTTTTACAAGTCGGCTGTCTCCCACTGAGGCAGGGTGACCCAAAAAAGGAAGAAAATCTCCAAAAGGAAAATACTTTCATCATCATTCAACACTTTCACCTCACTCACACATAATCACTGTTTTTGCAGAGGTGCCCAGAACACAACAGTTTAGAAGTATATACGTATAAAGATACACAACATATCCTTCCAAACTGCCAATATCCCAAACCCCTCCTTTAAAGTGCAGGCACTGTACTCCCCATTTCCAGGACTCAAGTCTGGCTATATAAAATAACCGGTTCCCTGAATCCCTTCACTAAATATTACCTTGCTCACACTCTAACAGCTCGTCAGGTCCCAAATGCCATTCGTCTCCATTCACTCTTATCGAACACGCTCATGCATGCTTGCTGGAAGCCCAAGCCCCTCGCCCACAAAACCTCCTTTACCCCCTCCCTTCAACATTTTCGAGGATGACCCCTACCCCAGCTTCCTTCCCCTACAGATTTATATGCTCTCCATGTCATTCTACTTTGATCCATTCTCTCTAAATGACCAAACCACCTCAACAACCCCTCTTCAGCCCTCTGACTAATACTTTTATCAACTCCACACCTTCTCCTAATTTCCACACTCCGAATTTTCTGCATAATATTTGCATCACACATTGCCCTTAGACGGGACATCTACACTGCCTCCAACCGCTTCCTCGCTGCAGCATTTACAGCCCAAGCTTCACACCCATATAAGAGTGTTGATACTACTATCCTTTCATACATTCCCTTCTTTGCCTCCATAGATAACATTTTTTGTCTCCATATATACCTCAACACACCACTCACCTTTTTTCCTTCATCAATTCTATGATTAACCTCATCCTTCATAAATCCATCCGACGACACGTCAACTCCCAAGTACAGTATCTGAAAACATTCACTTCTTCCGTACTCCTCCTCCCCAATTTGATATCCAATTTTTCTTTATCTAAATCATTTGATACCCTCATCACCTTACTCTTTTCTATGTTCACTTTCAACTTTCTACCTTTACACACACTCCCAAACTCATCCACTAACCTTTGCAATTTTTCTTTAGAATCTCCCATAAGCACAGTATCATCAGCAAAAAGTAACTGTGTCAATTCCCATTTTGTATTTGATTCCTCATAATTTAATCCCACCCCTCTCCCGAACACCCTAGCATTTACTTCTTTTACAACCCCATCTATAAATATAGTAAACAACCATGGTGACATTACACATCCCTGTCTAAGACCTACTTTTACCAGGAAGTAGTCTCCCTCTCTTCTACACACCCTAACCTGAGCCTCACTATACTCATAAAAACTCTTTACAGCATTTAGTAACTTACCACCTATTCCATATACTTGCAACATCTCCCACGTTGCTCCCCTTATCCACTCTATCATATGCCTTTTCTAAATCCATAAATGCAATAAAAACTTCCCTACCTTTATCTAAATACTGTTCACATATATGCTTCAATGTAAACACTTGATCTACACATCCCCTACCCACTCTGAAACCTCCTTGGCCGACTTGTTAAAAAAAAAAAAAAAATTACAATGTATATAGACCTAGCAGACATCACTGATAGTGCAACAGATTACATGAGGAGGATAGCAACCTACCACTGGTTTGGTATCTGGGTCAGTTGCAACAACAGTAGTAAGCGAAGCCTCTGCAACATTTTCTGCCACACTAGCTTCATACACTTGCTGTGAGAACACAGGTGGTTCATCACCCACGTCACTGACCAACACTGTCACTGTTGCCGTGGAGAGCCGAGGGTCAGCTGCACCATCCTTGGCTGTCACTACCAGCAAATGCACCTGGTAAAGAAATGTCACTTATGTTAGTAATACAGAGGACCTCTGGTATTTGATGGCATTGGTATTCCATAAATCCGGTATTCGATGCATTATATCGCAAAAAATTTTCCTCAGTACAGTGGACCCCCGGTTTACGATCAGCTCCCAATGCGACCAATTATGTAAGTGTATTTATGTAAGTGCGTTTGTCTGTGTATGTTTGGGGGTCTGAAATGGACTAATCTAATTCACAATATTCCTTATGGGAACAAATTCGGTCAGTACTGGCACCTGAACATACTTCTGGAATGAAATAATATCGTAAACCGGGGGTCCACTGTATTCGACTGAAAACCCGGTATTCGATACGATTCTTACGAGACCTGTCCACGTGTGGCCTGAACTGCCCCGTGTTTGCCAGTGTTTACAAGCCAGCCAGTGTGTGCGCATCTAAGGATACATTCGGTACATTCCATGTTATCCATAGTATCACTGTGTTTGGTGCTTGTTTCTGCAAAATAAGTCACCATGGGCCCCAAGAAAGCTTCTAGTACCAACCCTTCGAGAAAAAAGTCGCTAATGACTTATGAAATGAAGAAAGAGATAATTGCAAAGTACGAAAGTGGAGTGCGTGTGTCGGAGCTGGTTAGGTTGTATAATAAACCCCAATCAACCATTTCTACTATAGTGACCAGGAAAACGGCAATCAAGGAAGCTGTTCTTGCAAAAGGTGCAACTGTGATTACGAAACAGTGACCACAAGTGTTAGAAAATGTTGAGAGATTGTTATTGGTGTGGATAAATGAAAAACAGATAGCTGGAGATAGCATCTCTCAAGCGATCATTTGTGAAAAGGCTAGGCAGTTGCATGACGATTTGGTAAAGAAATTGCCTGCAATTAGTGGTGATGTGAGTGAATTTAAGGCCAGCAAAGGTTGGTTTGAAAGATTTAAGAATCGTAGTGGCATACATAGTGTGATTAGGCATGGTGAGGCTGCCAGTTACGTTGTGCGACAGAAGTCCAGTGACTCTCAAGCTGGTCCTAGTGGCATTAAAAGAAGAAGGGAAGTAACCCCGGAAAAGGACTTGTTACCTCAAGTCCTAATGGAAGGGGATTCCCCTTCTAAACACTAACACCTCTCCCCTCCTCCCATCCCATCAATCATCACCAGATCTTCATTAACCCTTTGACTGTTTTCGACGTATAAATACGTCTTACGAGCCAATGTTTCTGACGTATATATACTCAATAATTCTAGCGGCTTCAAATCAAGCGGGAGAAAGCTGGTAGGCCCACATGTGAGAGAATGGGTCTGTGTGGTCAGTGTGCACCACATAAAAAAAATCCTGCAGCACACATTGCGTAATGAGAAAAAAAAACTCTGATCGTTTTTTTGGAATAAAACACCGACTTTGAGGTGTATTTTCGTATAGTATTTATCGTTGTATTTGCGCTTTCATGGTCTTAGGTGATAAAATGGAAAACATATTACAGAAATAGAGATGATTTTCATTACTTTGACGATGAAAACGACCTTGAAACTGAGCTCAAAGTAGCGGAAACGTTTGATTTTTACCAATGTTCAGGAGTAAATAAATCACACCACACGTCCAATACACGTCAACTGGGGAGTCTAATATTCTTTCACTAGTGCACTGATATTATTTATACCATTTTTACAATAATGCAGTAGTCTGCATAACAGTAAATTTTGTATTTTTTTGTATGAATAAAAAATCAAAATAGAAAGCAATAATAATATAAGAGGGGCCTAGAGATGTGACTAACGAACAGAGCATATGTTATTTTAGTGCCACGAATGTCTACCTCGTTTATTCTGGACCCTATTTTGAACTTGGCATCTTTTTTAGATTGCGTGAAATTGGCCAAATTGCCAATTTCTGACCACCATATTGGGTAGTCCAAATTAGTAAATGGGAGGTTTCTTGTACTCAGCTGATAGATAAAATGGAGTTCTAAAGAAATAGCTATGAGTTTGGTCAACTGGAACAATGGAATTGGCTGAAAATAGGGCTCAAAGTCGGCGAAATCGCCGATACACATATGTCGCCAAGACAGCTAACTTCGCAGGAGCATAATTCCATGAGTTTTTGACCAAATTTCGAACTTTTGGTGTCATTACCATCGGGAAAAGATTCTCTATCATTTCATAAGAAAAAATAATTTTTTTTTTTCAAAAATTGAGCGACATAGAATGACAGTTTCAGAGAGGGGCCTGAAACAGTCAAAGGGTTAAAGGTAAGTGTCAACTATTTTATTGTTATTGTAATTATTCTTTTGCATTAAACTTAATATTTCATGTAGTAAAAATTTTTTTTTTCATACTTTTGGTTGTCTTGCATGGATTAATTTGATTTCCATTATTTCTTATGAGGAAAATTTATTCGGTTTTCGATATTTTCGGTATTCGATGAGCTCTCAGGAACGGATTAATATCGAATACCGGGGGTCCACTGTACATAATATATAACATGTATGGTTAGCTGGACTTGAGTCCTGGAGGTGTGAAGTACAGTGCCTGCATTCTGAAGGATGGGTGGGAATGTTTCCCACCTGTAGGACTTGAGTCCTACAGGTGGGAAATACAGTGCCTGCACTCCTTCAGGGTACCACTTGTCCAGGAAACTGGACAAGTGTCTTCACCAGATGCCAGATCAACCAGGCTGTGATGGATATGTGGGTCAGAGGGCCACCAGCAACAACAGCCTGGTTGACCAGGCAAGCATCAGAAGAGCCTGATCCAAGGCTGAGCACTGAAAGTAGTAAAACTCTCGAAACTCTTCAAAAGTATATCAAAGATAAAGGAATATAGGATGGTTTTTCCTGAAGCACAGCATTGCAAATGGTGTCTAAATAAAAAAAAAAATGAGGCATAATGAAAATACTTAGCTAAAAGTGGCAGGAAAACCCTCATGATGAGGTAAAAATGAAAAACAAGGTAATTTTAAGAAGTTTTTATCCCTATGAAAGCAAAAGACTCGGCAGGAGATGCAACATTCCCCCGATGAAAAGCAGGGGTGCCACAAGTACATTGAGAGACAACACAATAAGTATCTGGGGCCCAAGACTATTCAACTGCCTCCCAGCATACATAAGGGGGATTACCAATAGACCCCTGGCTGTCTTCAAGAAGGCACAAGGACAGGCACCTAAAGTCAGTACCTTACCAACCGGGCTGTGGTTCGTACGTCAGCTTGCATTTGGCCAGCAGTAACAGCCTGGTTGACCAGACCCTGATCCACCATGAGGCCTGATCTCAGACCGGGCCGCCGGGGTGTTGACCCCCGAAACCCTCTCCAAGTAAACTCCAGGGAAGTGGTTCACTGAACACTATGCAGAATGATCAATCAGACACATATGCAACATTTTGATATCTGTATTGTGGAAATATTTTGTCAACCAGTGGCTTCCTCAGTCCAATACAGAGAAGAATGGTTGAAGATCAGAAGTCTGAGGTTATCAGTCCATCAGCCTGGAGCTGATGTAATCAGTCCATCAATCTTGTTAATAATACAGTATATGCACAGAGGGAGGGGGTAAAGGAGGTTTTGTGGGCGAGGGGCTTGGACTTCCAGTAAGCGTGCGTGAGCGTGTTAGACAGGAGTGAATGGAGACGAATGGTATTTGGGGCCTGACGAGCTATTGGAGTGTGAGCAGGGTAATATTTAGTGAAGGGATTCAGGGAAGCCGGTTATTTTTATATAGCCGGACTTGAGTACTGGAAATGGAAAGTACAATGCCTGCACTTTAACCCTTTGACTGTTTTGGTCGTATATATACGTCTTACGAACCAGTGCTTCGGACGTATTAATATGCATAAATTCTAGCGGCTTCAAATCAAGCAGGAGAAAGTTGGTAGGCCCACATGTGAGAGAATGGGTCTGTGTGGTCAGTGTGCACCACATAAAAAAAATCCTGCAGCACGCAGTGCATAATGAGGAAAACAAAAAACTGACAGTTTTTTGGGATTAAAACGCCGAATTTGAGGTGTATTTTCGTATAGTATTTATCGTTGTATTCTCATTTTCATGGTCTCATGTGATAAAATGGAAAACATATTACAGAAATAAAGATGATTTTGATTAGTTTCACGGTGAAAACGACCTTGAAATTGAGCTCAAAGTAGTGGAAATGTTCGATTTTTACCAATGTTCAGGTGTAAGCAAATCACACCACACGTTCAATACACATCAGCTGGGGAGTCTGATATTTTTTCACTAGTGCATTGATATTATTTATACTATTTTTACAATAATGCAGTAGTCTGCATAACAGTAAATTTTGTATTTTTGTATGAATAAAAAATCAAAATAGAAAGCAACAGTAATATAAGCTGAGGCCTAGAGACGTGACTAATGAACAGAGGATATATTATTTTAGTGCCAACAATATCTACATTGTTTATTCTGGGCCCTATTTTGAAATTGGCAGCTTTTTTAATTTGCGTGAAATTGGCCAAATTGCCAATTTATGACCACTTTATTGGGTAGTTCAAATTGGTAAATGGGCAGTTTCTTGTACTCAACTGATAGAAAAAATAGAGTTCTAAAGAAATAGCTTTGAGTTTGGTCAACTGGAACAACGGAATTGGCGAAAAACAGGGCTCAAAGTTGGTAAAATCGCTGATGCATATATTTCGCCGAGACCTCTAACTTCACGAGAGCGTAATTCCGTTAGTTTTCGATCAAATTTCGTACTTTTGGTGTCATTACCATTGGGAAAAGATTCTCTGTCATTTCATAAGAAAAAATAATTTTTTTTTCCCCAAAATTTTGCAACATTGAATTACAGTTTCAGAAAGGGGCTTGCGGCAGTCAAAGGGTTAAAGGAGGGGTTTTGGGATATTGGCAGTTTGGAGGGATATGTTGTGTATCTTTATATGTATGTGCTTCTAAACTGTTGTATTCTGAGCACCTCTGCAAAAACAGTGTTTATGTGTGAGTGAGGCCGTCTCCCACCCTGCCTCAGTGGGAGTTGGCCGACGTTAAAAAAAAAAAAAATGCACAGAGAAGGGGGCTTATATACTGACCACAGGCGAGGTGAAGCAGTCGTAGGCTGTGTGGCAAAACGTTTCCACAATCAAGATAGCTAATTGTTGCCACGTGTCTAATTTGATGGTTCTCTGAACCATTTATCCACACTGTGCAGAATGAAGGAGGTAATTGTGATTCCTTTCTTTCTGCATCGCCCAACCTTGGTGGGAGATAGCCAGTGTTAATAAAAGAGAGAATTTACTAACCTGTTTTTCCTCATAATCAAGAGCTTGCTTGGTCCTGATCTCACCAGTGTTACTGGCAATATTGAAGGGAGAATTCTCTGGCACAGAATAGAACACCTCCCCATTACTGCCCGAGTCTTCATCTTCTGCCTGCGATAATCATGAAGAAACAATGTGAAAAGCAGGTAACAACATTCCTGCATACTAAGTAACATTAACTCTCATGGTGAATGAGCCACACCAAATGTTACACAGCAGCAATTTCCATTAAAAGTGCGACAATTTACATATTTTAGCTGAAAAAAAAATGAGGTATGACTGAAAAATGCTTCAAGCCATTCTAAGTCATTAACATGTGCAATAAAGTTTTAGCACATTTTTTATTTTTTTTTTAATATATAATTAATTAGAAAAGGATCTCAAGGGGATTGAAATATACAGATCAATTAAGCTCCTGAGTTTCTGTCTCCATGTGGGTTATTACTGAGCATTGACAAGTGTTCATTACACTTTAGTTATTCATTGACTAGTAAGTAAATTGAGTTACAGCAAATATTCAGGCATAATAATCATTGAAACGTCATAGCAATGGTTTTTAACCTGAAGGTAATACCCTACCTGGGGAGGGTGGGAATTAATTCCCAGGAAAGGCCTTACCTCTTGGGGCAGGACAAGAATTACCTCCTGTGAGGGTAATTACCTGGAAGGGAAGTAATTCTACTTTTTATTAATTGGGGTTAGGGATAACCAGCTGGCAGTACAATTGTTATTATCATTATTTTTTTTTTTAACAAGTTGGCTGTCTCCCACCAAGGCAGAGTGACCCAAAAAGAAAATCCCCAAAAAGAAAATACTTTCATCATCATTCAATACTTTCACCTCACTCGCACAAGCACTGTCTTTGCAGAGGTGCCCAGATATGACAGTTTACAAGCATATATAAAATACCCCTCCAAACTGCCAATATCCCAAACCCCTCCTTTACAGTGCAGGCAATGTGCTTCCCATTTCCAGTGCTCAAGTCCGGCTATATAAAAATAACCGGTTTCCTTGAATCCCTTCACTAAATATTACCCTGCTCACACTCCAACAGCTCATCAGGTCCCAAAAACCATTCGTCTCCAGTCACTCCTATCTAACACGCTCACAAATGCTTGCTGGAAGTCCAAGCCCCTTGCCCACAAAACCTCCTTTACCCCTTCCCTCCAACCTTTTCAAGGATGACCCCTACCCTGCCTTCCTTCCTCTACATATTCATACGCTCTAAAAGTCATTCTACTTTGATCCATTATCTCTAAATGACCAAACCACCTCAACAACCCCTCTTCAGCCCTCTGACTAATAGTTTTAGTAGGTCAACGCCTCCTCCTAATTTCCACACTCCGAATTCTCTGCATAATATTTACACTATACATTACCCTTAGACAGGACATCTCCACTGCCTTCAACCACCTCCTCGCTGCAGCATTTGCAACCCAAGCTTCACAGCCATATAAGAGTGTTGGTATCACTATACTTTCATACATTCCCTTCTTTGCCTCCATGGATAACGTTTTTTTGTCTCCACATATACCTCAACGCACCACTCACCTTTTTTCCTTCATCAATTCTATGGTTAACCTCATCCTTCATAAAATCATCTGCTGACAAGTCAACTCCCAAATATTTAAAAACATTCACTTCTTCCATACTCCTTCTCTCCAATGTGATATCCAATTTTTCTTTATCTAAATCATTTGATACCCTCATCACCTTATTCTTATCTATGTTCACTTTCAACTTTCTACCTTTACAGGGTTCAGCTTTAGCCTTGTTATAAAGAGTGGGAATCATTACTTTTCTCTGCTAGTTTAAGGTGTAATTGCCATGAAGGTCAAATAGAGCTGCCTTAAAGCAACACAGCAGCAATACTCTACCTTAACCGAGCCAACCACAGCATCAGCCAGGCCTTCATCGACCCTGAAGGAGTAAGGTAGTCCTATAAACTCAGGGTTTTTGTCATTGATGTCACTGACTGTAATGCTGACTGCAGCGGTGTTGAATAATCCTTCAGAGTCCTCTGCTTTTATTACCTACAAAGAAAATGGAATGTTGTAAACCTCACCTGTAGTCAGGGGTGGATCTACTATGATGCTTGTGAACCTTAAGCTTCTAGGCCCCTAATCATAGAGGGGCCACAAAAGTGATTTTAGTCCACACTGGTTAAAAATTTTGGGTCTACAGTATGAGAAGGTTTTAAAAATAAATTAATAATAAAGTGTAATTCAATACAAAATACAGTGGAACCTCCACTTGCGAGCGCATCCACGTGTAAGTTTTTCCAAATACGAGCAGTCGATTCGTTGATTTTTTGCTTCCATACGCGAGCGAAATTTCCATGAAAGAAATCGGACCATAAATAATGGAGTTCACTTCTCAGCAATTAGCTGCCCCTTAGCAGTATTTTCATATGTTTTTTATTGTTGTATTCTCGTTTTTTTTTTTGTTTCATTTGATAGAATGGAAGATATACTACAGAAATAGATATGATTTTGATTGGTTTCATGAGGAGAGGCACCTTGAAAATGAGCTCAAAATACCAAAAATGTTCTATTTTTGCCAATGTTCAAGAGTAAATAAATGACATCACCTCCATTCCAATATGTAGTCATGAATGGGTTGACATTATTTATACAATTATTACAATAATGCAGTAGTCTGCATAACAGTGAATCTTCTATTTTTTGTGTGAATAAAAATTAAAATTATTTATAATGTAATAATAATAATAATAATAATAATACATAAAATAATACTACATGTATAATAATGTACTAAATAATAATTATAATGATAGACAGCTTCAAAAGGCTGTCACTAGATGGCAGTGTTTACCACAACAATGCTGGAGCGGTTATGGCCGCCTCCACTTGTCACATAATGACATATTTTATTCATTCTAGAGTATATATCAGGTTTCTATGTTATTTATATTTTGTATTATGTCATATTAGATGAACTGTAACAGATAAATAAGCCACAGAGTTGATGATAGCGAAATATTCAAGGAGTATTTTGTTCTGTCTCCAGACAAACTCTCATCGGCCGCCAATGCTGCCACATATATAATGACATATTTTATTCATAAATGTATATTGTTTATGTAATAAACAATATATATTTATATTGTTTATTATGTCTTATTAGATGAACTGTGATAGATAAATAAGCTGTAGAGTTGATATTAGGGAAATTATTGAAGTATTTTATGGTGCTTGAAATTTCACTGAAACGAATTAATTCCATTTCAATTAATTTAAATGAGGAAAAGTGACTCTGCAAACGAGCAAATTTAGATGTGAGCAAGGTCATGGAACAGATAAACTTGTTAGTGGAGGTTCCACTGTAATAGCTAAAATAAAAATTAGTATTACTAAAGTATCATGTAGGCTAGCCATTGCTGGTTGTGAAGGTGACCCCATAACAGTTCAAGCTTCAAGGACCCAAAAATGTGGTACAGACTGTTGAGGTATAGACTGGTTGCAGTATAGACTGAAGTGATCCAGTACTTGAGTGCTGGAGATGGGAACATGTCTGCACTCTGAAGAATGGGTGGAAATGTTGCACTTCAGAGGGTCATGTGATGTCTGCACACACCTAGACACAATATATCTTTACCTTTGATGAGTTTCAAGGGTCTGTCTACTCCTGGAGGGATGGTTCATGTTTAACTTCTTGGAATATCTTTGTTGGAAAAGTCAATGTGGCAAAAGAAAATATCATGGATGCCATTAAGTTTTAAGGAATTGGAGAATAAAAAAAATGGTAATTCTCTTTAAAATCACATCTACCCAATTGGGTAATGAAGTATTTTCCCAACAGTCTCTCTATACATCACATAAACTAACCAGATTATACGAGTCCAAGCTCTCACGATCCAGTGGGTTCACTAAACGTAAAGTTCCAGATGTTTCTCCAATTTCAAAGTGATTAAGTTCATTTCCGCTGATGATAGAGAAGCTGGCTGGGTCACCCTCTGGATCTAAGGCCTAGAAAAAAAATTTAATATATCAGGTACAATTTGTAAATATTATAAACTGCAGACATGTTACCACAGTAAGTTATTAACCCTTTCACTGTTGGTGCCATATAGATACGTCTTACGAGCCAGTGTTGGTGACAAATTAATACCCCAAAATTCTAGAGACTTCAAATCTAGCAGAAGAAAATTGGCACACTTACACATGAGAGTATGGGTCTGCGTGGTCAGTGTGCGCAGCATAAAAAAAAATTCTGCAGCACGCAGTGTGCATAATGAGAAAAAAACTCCAATCATGTTTTTGGATTAAAATGCCAACTTTGAAGTGTATTTTTGTATGGTATTTATGGTTGTATTCTCATTTCCTTGGTCTCATTTGACATAATGGAAAATATATTACAGAAATAGAGATTATTTTGATTGGTTTCATGATGAAAACTACCTTGAAATTGAGCTCAAACTAGTGGAAATGTTAGATTTTTGCCAATGTCCAAGAGTAAACAATACGTGTTCAATACGTGTCCAATTGACCAGTCTAATATACTGTCACAAATGGGTTGACATTATTTATACAATTATACAACAATGCAGTAGTGTGTATAAGAGTAAATCTTCTGGATTTTTGTGTGAATAAAAATTCAAAATGGAAAGCAAGAGTAATATAAGAGGGGGCCTGGAAACACGACTAATGAACTGAGAAAATGTTATTTTAATGCCAGGAATGTCTGCAATGTTTATTCTGGACCCCATTTTGAAATTGGCATCTTTCAAAATTTATGTGAAATTGGCCAAGTTGCCAATTGAGTAGGTGTATCTCAACACCTGAACCCCAATCTCTTTGCTGACGACACGACTTATGTCATCTTTCACCCTAATCTTCCCACCCTCAACACCACTGTTAATGAGGAGCTGATCAAAATATCGACTTGGATGACAGCCAATAAACTTACGCTTAACACTGACAAAACCTACTACGTTATGTTTGGTAGCAGAGCAGGAGATGCGCAAATTAACATTAAGATCGACAACACTCTAATTGCCAGGCATAATGAGGGCAAATTCCTAGGCCTATACCTAGACAACAATCTGAACTTCATCACCCATATCCAACACATAACCAAAAAAGTATCCAAAACGGTTGGGATCCTCTCTAAGATACGATACTACGTGCCGCAAACTGCCCTTCTCACACTATACCATTCACTTACATATCCATACCTCACTTATGCTATCTGTGCTTGGGGTTCAACTGCAGCAACACACCTAAAGCCAATAATAACCCAACAAAAAGCCGCAGTAAGAATAATCACTAAATCCCATCCCTGGCAACACACCCCCCCACTCTTCACAGATCTAAACTTACTCCCTGTTCTGTACATCCACACTTACTACTGTGCAATCTACATCTACAGGACCTTAAATTCCAATATTAACCTTGACCTAAAATGCTTTCTTGATAGTTGTGACAGAACCCACAGGCACAACACCAGACACATACAACTCTATGACATTCCCCGTGTCCGACTAAACCTTTACAAAAATTCAATGTATGTCAAAGGCCCTAAAATCTGGAACACCCTACCTGAAAATTCTAAAACTGCAGACACATTCATCACCTTCAAAACTACCATCAGAAAACATCTTATCTCCCTGATACACCCTGTCAACTAATTACACGAATACCACCTGGTGGTTCACACTTACACTCACTCACCCATTTGACCATACACAGAAATATCAATCTCAATCTCAAAATAATGAATCTTAACTAGTCATAAGTTGGCCTGTGATACTCCAATACTGAAACTATGTATAGTGCCAAAACAAAAGCATTCACATTGCTAAACTCACAAACTAGTATTTAGTCACTTAGCCATAATACCAACTTACCTCATAATTTTGTAATATTTTAAACTTAAGATTTAATCTAAGTCTGCCTGAAATGCCTAGCCATGCTAGGTGTTCTAGTGGTACACTCTGTAATTATTATTTGACTACATGTAAACCACACAATAACCAAATTCTGTAAACTCAGCATTGTAATCCTTATAGAGAATAAACTTTGAATTTGAATTGAATTTGAATTAAATGAGCAGTTTCTTGTGCTCAATCAATAGAAAAAATGGAGTTCTAAAGAAATAGCTATGAGATTGGTCGACTGGAACAATGGAATTGGCTGCAAATAGGGCTTAAATTGGGCGAAATCGCCGATGCGTACGCTAACTTCGCGAGAACATAATTCTGTAAGTTTTCCATCAAATTTCATACTTTTGGTATCATTACCATTGGGAAAAGATTCTCTATCATTTCATAAGAAAAAACATTTTTTTTTTTAAATTCTTCAACATTGAGAGTGAGTTCAGGATCAGGGGTCTCCACAGTGAAAGGGTTAAGAAAGTTGATAAAGATAGCAAATAGAATATTGATTAGTCATTATACAGTAGGGCCCCACTTTACGACATTCTGCTAATACGGTCATTTCAAATTATGACCAAAACTCGCTATACGGCTCCCCCCACCTGACTTTCTAATACGGTCACCACGCCCAACTCGGTTTGTTTACATTCTCCGTGAGATCCGTAAGCACTAAGTCTCTCCATTATGTCTGGAAACTCCAAAATTTCAAGTGTTTTTAAAAGTTATTTCATATTTTATATATACTCTGATAATTATACCTGTACCTAAATATACTCTGATAATTATACCTGTACCTATACATATATACCTTATATATACTCTGATAATTATACCTGTACCTAAATAAACTTGCATACTGTGCTGGCGTGCAGGTACACATTAAAATCAGTGTCTTATGTCTCGAGACGTCATATTAGTAATGATAATAATAATCACCGAGTCACATTTAAATGTCGTATATTATGTTAATATATACAAATTTTCATTAATCCATCCATGATATTTTTTTCAAAATTATATAATAAACACGATACATAACATATAAAGATGATAAATACACCCCACAATAGAATAAATAAACATAAATATGAGATGTCGTAACCAGATAACTTGTACAAGTGACGGCAAGAATAACATTTTCTCTAATCTAACATAAGAGAAAATGTGTTACTGGGGGTAACTGTAGAAAATTATTCCTTTTGTATGTAAGTTTATTCAGGTATACACAAATACAGTTACATAGATTATCATACATAACAGCGTATGTGTAGAGAACCTGGGATAACCCAAAAAAGTCAGTGACTTATTTCCATTGCCTTCTCTCAGAGCGTTATTTCTTCTCAAAATGGTGTTACATGAGAATAGGAGTGTTCTTCTTTATTTACTCTACCGTATCAATGTAGAGACAACTTGTACACATTGTAACTTGTACACAAAGCAGACGTGTACACTTTGTTTACAAAACTTATGTTCGCCTGGTTTGTTTACATAACTCTGCGCCTGTCCTCTCTCATGCACTCATTCTCTCTCTCTCATTTATTCGTTTTATCTCATTTACTTACTCCTGACCCTACATTAAGACTACAAATATTTTAAGGTAAGTAATGAGTGAACTGTATATACATTTTATCACTCTGGGATGCTTAAATATCATAGAATAGTATGTGTGGGTGGGTTGGCCTGGTATGGTAGCCCGGCTGACTACCATACATACCACACTTGATTTCTTACAATAAATGCTACTTGTCTCACCCTAGATTAAGACTATAAATATTTTAAGGTAAGTAATGAGTAAACTGTATATGTATTTTATCGCTCTGGGATGCTTAAATGTAATAGAATATTATGTGGCCTGGTATGGTAGCCCGGCTGACTACCATACATATCACACTTGATTTCTTACAATAAATACTACTTGTCTCACCCAAGATTAAGACTATAAATATTTTAAGGTAAGTAATGAGTGCAAAGGACCCCAATGGAAATAAGTCACTCTGTCTGACTTTTTTGGGTTATCCTAGGTTCTCTACACATATGCTGCTATGTATGATAATTCTATGTAATTGTATTTGTGTATACCTGAATAAACTTACTTACTTACTTACTATGTGTGTATTGTACTTTTTTATCGTTTTTTGATGCCTAGTTCTACTGCTAACTTAATATATGTTAGTGTAAACTTGTTATCTAGTATTTGTATGCATTTATAAGGGTAAAAAAAGGGTGTTCCACTTTACTGTAATTTCCGCTTTACGGCGGTAGCCTGGAACCTAACCTGCCGTATAAGTGGGACCCTACTGTATATACTACTTAATATCTGAATTAAAAATAATGTGCTGAATGAATGGAAACCTATGATCATTAATCAATTTAGGGGTCATACACCCAGTAAATAAAGACAATGGGTACTAAGAATTTCAACCCAAGGCATGTAAAATGGAAGAATGTAGCAAATAATACTGTAGCAGAGATAACACCAGGAGGCAGCTCAGACAAAAACTTGCACACACATGAGCTTTTAAGTTTCTGCACCAAATTCACCTTAAATCAGCAAATACTATAATTATAGAGCCAACAAGACTGGAGAATACATTGGACCTCATCTTCACTAACAATGATGAGCTGATACAAAATATTACCATATCAAAAACAATATGTACTAAGATCACAACATAATAGAAGTTCAGACGTATGCGCAGGGCCCCAGACCAACAAAATGTGATCAGTCATGAGGGAGCCTTCCCTAAATTCAACTTCAATAACAAAAACATAGGGTGAGACCAAGTAAACCAGGTCCTAAATGATATAAACTGGGAAGACAGCCTAAGCAACATGGATCCAAACCTATGTCTAGAACAAATTAACTATGTGGCACTTGAGGTACACCTTGTTACAGGTATGTCACACACACACTGACAGGTGAACATTTACACCTGCCTTGGCCATTTACTATTGTCTAGGAATATATATATAGAGTATTTATAGGTCCCAGTAATGTGTTGGATACATGGGAGTATATAATAATAATAATAATAATCATAATAATAATAATAATAAGCAGGGGGGGATACAGTGTTGGAGTGGTTGGTATTTTTGTTTAATAAATGTATGAAAGAGGGGAAGGTACCTAGGGATTGGCGGAGAGCATGTATAGTCCCTTTATATAAAGGGAAGGGGGACAAAAGAGATTGCAAAAATTATAGAGGAATAAGCTTACTGAGTATACCAGGAAAAGTGTACGGTAGGGTTATAAATGAAAGAATTAGAGGTAAGACAGAATGCAGGATTGCGGATGAGCAAGGAGGTTTCAGAGTGGGTACGGGATGAGTAGATCAAGTGTTTACATTGAAGCATATATGTGAACAGTATTTAGATAAAGGTAGGGAAATTTTTATTGCACATACTAGACATGAGAGAATGGGTGTGCGCACTCACTGTGTGCCATATTAAAATAATTGGGGATGCCTGGGTACCATATGCTCTTTTTTCCTTTTAAAAGAAAAGAATGTTTTTTCCTCAAAAAAGTTGGGGCACTACGCGAGTGAACGTATATATACGTTTGGACCGTTTAAGGGTTAAAAGAAGAAGGGAAGCAACCCCGGAAAAGGACTTGCTACCTCAAGTCCTAATGGAAGGGGATTCCCCTTCTAAACAGTAACAACTTCGACACTCTCCGCTCCTCCCATCCCATCAATCTTCACCAGATCTTCATTAAAGGTAAGTGTCAATTATTCTATTGTTATTATTCTATTGTTATTATTCTATTGTTATTGTTGTTATTGTAATTATTCTATTGCATTAAACTTAATATTTCATGTGGTAAATTTTTTTTTCATACTTTTGGGTGTCTTGCATGGTTTAATTTGATTTCCATTATTTCTTATGGGGAAAATTGATTCGCTTTTCGATATTTTCGGTATTCGATGAGCTCTCAGGAAAGGATTAATATCGAATACCGGGGGTCCACTGTACCAGGTAACAACACCTGCTATACAACAAGGTCCTCAAATTCCTGAGAATATACCCAAGCATTTGAGGAGGGAAGGTGGTCATTTCATAATACAGCTTCCTTCAACTAAGAAGAAATTTGCTCAGAAGAGATGTGTTGTCTGTGCCCAAACAAAACGACGGCAACAAAGACGCAAAGACACTCGGTTTATGTGTGAGAAATGTAAGGTACCTCTGTGCATGGTGCCTTGTTTCAAGGAGTTCCACAAGCTCCAGCAGTTCTAAAACCATGTCCAGTGATTGTAAATATATAAATATATGATAGAACATTAGTATTATACAAGATTTGTGCATGTTTATTGTAATAAACAAAAGTGGTAAACAATAATATGATAATAACTTTAGTGTGGTTATTGTGTTCAATACATTGAGTTTATATATATACATTATATACAGTATTGGTCTCTCAGGCCCCAAATGTTAGTAGGAAAAGAAAAAAATTATAAAAGAAAAGAAAAAACTACAAAAAACGTTAAATAAAGTAATGCGCATATGTGGAAATCGTCGATGTTGCCACCACCAGGTCATTTTGGGTAAACTTCTCGGCACTGTATCTCGGTAAGTACTGATCAGAATTTTGTTTTTTGTCTTATTACCTTCACAAAAATATACTGTTTAATTCTGTAAGAAAAAATTATTTTTTTTTTTTCTTCAAAATTTCTTGGACACTGGAGCACCACTTCAGATTTTGGCCTTGGACCCTGAAGGAGTTAAACTATAAAAATAGGCATTTATAGGCATTTTTTTAACCACGTCCAGAATTCGCTTTTTTTTAAATCTGCAGGCGGGTTTGGAACGTAACCCCTGCAAATTTGGGTGGACTACTGTATTCATTTTTAACCAAATAACTAACTAAAAAAATCTCAGGAGTTCATGAAGGTAGCATTAGCATAAAAATATAAGTGACTTAGGTGAAATACTCACTCCAAGTGTGAGAACAGCAGAGTTAGGAGCAGCTCCTTCACTCAGAGCAACTGTGTAGCGTGGCAAGGTAAACACTGGACCTCCTGTGTTGGGACCTCTGTTCACCATCAACTCCAATATGCTCTGGCTATATAAACCACCTCTGTCTGTGGCCTGCAAGAAACACTATGATTTAGAAGAACAGAAAGTCACTATACCATGCTATAGTTCATAAAAATAAAAAAATCACTATACCATACGTGGAGGTCTGGTCTCAAGCTGGGTCACAAGAAGTGATGACCTCAAAAATCGTCAAGTAGCGATTTTTTTTTCTTAACACACCAGCCATCTCCCACCAAGGCAGGATAACCCAAAAAAAAGTAAAAAAGTTTATAAAGCTTTTCTTCTTTTACATTTAGTAATTTATACAGGAGAAGGAGTTACTATCGCCTTGCTCCTGGCATTTTAGTCGCCTCTTATGACACGCATGGCTTACAGAGGAAGGATTCTTCTCTGCTTCCCCATTGGAGTTTAAGTAACCATGACTACAGTAATTCACAGCCAACCTTCAACTAAGAGATGAAACTAGATGACACTGCACTATTATCAGCTCAGGAGTTAGTAATGTACCAAGATGGACCGAAATACAGTAGCATGTAAACCAGGAAATGGGTGGGGATGAACACATCGGAAGCGAGTCCTAAAACTAGTAAGTCGATTTGTAGTGCACTCGGCTCACACACTGAGGTCCGTGGTTCGATCCCCAGAATGGGTAGAAACATTAGGATGTTTCCTTAAGACACCTGCTGTCCATGTTTGCCTATCGATAAAATAAGTACAGTGGACCCCCGCATAACGATGGCATCGCATAGCGATTTTTCCGCATAACGATTACTTTTATCGCAAAATTTTTGCCCCGCATACCGATTAAAAACCCGCATACCGATTTTCGTCCGAGACGCGTCCAATGTGCCCTCAGCCAGCCTCACATGTGCCGCTCCGTCCCATTGTTTACCAGCCAGCCTCCGCGGTAACATCCAAGCATACACTCGGAATATTTCGTATTATTACAGTATTTTCGGTGCTGTTTCTGGAAAATAAGTGACCATGGGCCCCAAGAAAGCTTCTAGTGCCAACCTGTGGTAAAAAGGGTGAGAATTAGTATGGAAATTAAGAAAGATTTTGAAGGGTTTGGGGCTAACCCTGAGAAGCCTATGCCAGTTGTGGAATCCATTGTGCCTACTTCAAAGATTAAGGAAATGTGTGCACAGTGGGTTGAACTGCAAACCTTTATAGATGAAAATCACCCTGACACAGCTGTTGCAAGCCGTGCTGGTGACTATTTCAATGACAATGTTGTGGCCCATTTTAGACAAATCGTAAAGGAACGGGAGGTACAGAGCTCTATGGACAGATTTGTTGTGCGACAGAGGTCCAGTGACTCTCAAGCTGGTCCTAGTGGCATTAAAAGAAGAAGGGAAGTAACCCCGGAAAAGGACTTGCTACCTCAAGTCGTAATGGAAGGGGATTCCCCTTCTAAACAGTAAGAAGATAATGCTCTCCCCTCCTCCCATCCCATCAATCATCACCAGATCTTCAATAAAAGTAAGTGTCATTTAATTGTGCATGCCTTTTTCAGTTTGTGTGTATTAAAATTAACATTTCATGTGGTAAAAAAAATTTTTTTTCATACTTTTGGGCGTCTTGCACGGATTAATTTGATTTCCATTATTTCTTATGGGGAAAATTCATTCGCATAACGATTATTTCGCATAACGATGAGCCCTCTTGCACGGATTAAAATCGTTAACCGGGGGTCCACTGTACCTGGGCGTTGGTGGGCTGCTGTGGGTCGCATCCTGGGACAAAATTGACCTAATCTGCGAGAAATGCTCTGCATAACAAGGGGCATTCTATATAATAGTATGTCATTGATGTCAGCTATGGTCTGTATAACTTATACAGCAGGGCCCCGCTTTACGGCGGTTTGCTTTACGGCGTTCCGCTAATATGGACATTTCAAATTATGACCAAAACTCGCTATACGGCTCCCCCACCTGTCTTTCTAATACGGTCACAGCTGCCCACCGAGTTTGTTTACATTCTCCCTGAGCACATCTCCTTATTATGTCTGGAAACTTTCCAAAATTTCAAGTGTTTTAAAGTTATTGTATATTTTATATGTATTGTACTTGATAATTAAACTTGTGTACACCTGTACCTAAATAAACTTACACACTGTGCTGGCATGTAGGTACACATTAAAATCACTAAGTCTCTCTACTCTTGATGCAATAATAATAATAATAATAATAATAATAATAATAATAATAATAATAATAATAATCTCTTGGGCGCATTAATGTCGCATATTACGTTAATATAGACATTTCCCTTAATCTATCTATGATATTTTTTTCAAAATTATATAAGAAACACATTATGTAACACACAAACATGATACATGCACCCACAGTATAAAAATTTATACAAATATATATGAGATGTTTACCAAACGGTTTGTAGAAGTGTTGGAAGAATTACGTTTTCTCTAGCCCGTCACCTGTTACTAGGGATAACTGTAGAAAAATATTCCTTTCGTATGCCTTCACTTTATAGCTATAATTCTGTACTAACTTGTACACAGTGTAAGAGTATTTGTTTCGTGATTTAATTATTATAATAATAATAAAAATATTATAAGGTAAAAGTTTCACAAACTCTTACAAATGTACATGAATGAACTAAAACTGGACACGTATTAATACCGTCTATTTCGCCTGACCGAGTGATCGTCCACAACCTGTTCAGTTTGTTTGTTTAAGCTGTCTGAGCTCGGTGTATCATTAAATGTTGTATATTACGTTAATATACACATTTTCATTAATCCATCCGTGATATTTTTTTCAAAATTATATAATAAACACGATACATAACATAAATACATAACAACATATGTGTAGAGAACCTAGGATAACCCAAAAAAGTCAGAGTGACTTACTTCCATTGCCTTCACTCAGAGCATCATTTCTTCTCAAAATGATGTTACATGAGAATGGGAGTGTTCTTTATTTATTCTACCGTATCAATGTAGAGACAACCTGTACACAATGTAACTTGTACACAAACCAGACGTGTACACAGTTTACAAAACTTACCTTCGCCTGGTTTGTTTACCTAACTCTGCGCCTGTCCTCTCTCATGCACTCATTCTTTCTCTCTGGTATGGTAGCCTGGCTGACTACCATACATACCACACTTGATTTTTTACAATAAATACTACTCATCTCACCCTATATTTTAAGGTAAGTAATGAGTGAACTGTATATACATTTTATCGCTCTGGGATGCTTAAATATCATAGAATAGTATGTGTGGGTGGGTTGGCCTGGTATGGTAGCCTGGCTGACTACCATACATACCACACTTGATTTCTTACAATAAATACTACTTGTCTCACCCTAGATTAAGACTATAAATATTTTAAGGTAAGTAATGAGTGCACTATGTGTGTATTGTACTTTTTTATTGTTTTTTTGATGCCTGGTTCTATTGCTAACATAATATATGTTAGTGTAAACTTGTTATCTAGTGTTTGTATGCATTTGTAAGTGGAAAAAAAGGGTGTTCCACTTTACGGCGGTTTCTGCTTTACGGCGGTAGCCTGGAACCTAACCCGCCGTATAAGTGGGGCCCTCCTGTATATATACGTGTAGAAATAAAGATTATTATTATTATTATTATTATTATTATTATTATTATTATTATTATTATTATTACTACTACTACTACTGTATTATAAAAAACTCCAGGGCTCACTTACCATGGGTTCAGTCCCTGACTGTTTTGTGGTTTGTTTTCAATTGTTTTATTACGATTTTATAAATCAGGAGTACCATGTAAAGTTTAGCTGCTAATTTGTGTTATTTATGAGCCTTAAATTAGATCTGAATGCCAAGCAGTAGCATTTAGAAAATGCTAGCTTATTACTGGAAACATTTGATACAGATTTTTACAATGTCTCTGTTTCCAATTTTATAAACAGGTTCACTAACTGTAGCCAGCAATTAACTGATGTGAAAATATTTTGTAATGCATTATACAAAAATTTTAAGCAGATACTTAAAACTGAACTATTATTCACTTACCTCCCTCCCTTTTGGTACATTTAAAAAACTCCTACTCAGTAATCATTCTCTATTTATTAAGTAGTCTGTAAGCATTAGGATTAGTCTGCACAGAATGCTAGTGGCTTTATTTTTTGCTTAATATTTTATTACATGTAAACTACATTTTATATACTGCAGAAAAGAAAGTTGTTTCATACTGTATTGTATATACATGTACATGAAGATACACCCGGAGAGTGATAGAGTACTGGATAAGGTTGAATTGTATTACATATACGTATATACATGAGCACACACACACACAGTTATAAAGTATTGGATAAAGCTGTATTATATTGTATACATATACATGTACATGAAGACAGACCCTGAGAGTAATGGAGAACTGGTTACCAGCATTCACTTCCCCAACCAGCGCTAATTCTCCTGTAGTGCTGTTAATGAAGAACTTCTCCTGGCCACTATTAGACACGTGGTAGATGCTGTACATTACCATGGCGTTCTCACCAGCATCGTTGTCCTTAGCTGATATCTGTAAGCAATTGAAAAATGAATTTAATTAATATTGTAAAATATTTATCTATAATAATAATAATAATAATAATAATTTTATTTCAGCATGATACATGTTTGTATAAAGGAGTATAACAACTGCGTGTACATGCCAAAAGCCCCTTTATATGCAGAACATTTAGGGCAAACTTAAGACTAACTTAAGATTAATAAGGCAATAACAGTGCAGTAATTTGTACATATGGCCATTAGGAGAGTTACAATGAATACAAGAGAATTGAATATTCTGTTAGTTTATGCTATATGCTTTAACCCTTAAACGGTCCAAACAAATCGACGTTCAAATTCGTAGTGCTACAAAAGTAGATCTACTTTTTTTTACATATTTTCAAATATAACAAAAAAAATGTAGATAAAAGTTTTTTTTACACGTTTTCACATGTAAAACAAAAATAAAAGATCTACATTTTTTACATACTTTCAGATGTTGAAAAAACGTATATATATGTTTGGACCGTTTAAGGGTTAATAAGTTTGGTAGAGAAAAATTACAGCTTTGATCATTAACCTAAGGTGGACACAATGGAATAATTAACATTTGAGAGGATTACAGATATTGAGAGTAAATGTATATTGATTACAATGTTTTACCTATGTTCATGATATTGAGCAAATGCATGTTTTATTTTTATATATGTATTTATGATTGGCTGGGATAGGTTAAGGAGATAAGGTGATTTCTAAATGAAGTTTTAAAAATGCTAGCCAAGTCTGTGGTTCTGGAGATTTCTGGCAGAGTTTTCCAGATATTGGGCCCTTTTATGTACAATGAGTTTTTTAAAAGATTTAGCCTGAGATGGGGAATGTCAGAGATTTTTGTGCCTAGTATTGTGTCTATGGGTCCTATTGCAACTGTTGAGAAAGTGCTTCAGGTTGGGATTAATATTTAGAATTGATTGTTCTGTAAATGTAGGTTGCACAGTAGTACAAGTGAATGTTTTGCAAAGTTTAGGTCTTTGAAGAGTTGGGGTGTGTGTTGTCTAGCAGTGGATTGTGTGATCATTTGCACTGCAGCTTTTTGTTGGGTTATTATTGACTTTAGGTGATTTGTCATTGTGGAACCCCAGGCACAAATAACATAGGTGAGGTAGGGGTAGATCAGTGAATAGTATAGTGTAAGTAGTGCTGTTTATGGTACATAGTAATGTATCTTTGAGAGGATGCCAACTGTTTTAAATACTGTTTTTGTTATGTGTTGGATATGGGTGTTGAATTTCTGGTTGCTGTCAAGGTGCAGACCCAGGAACTTTCCCTCATTATGTTCAGCAATAAGGATGCTGTTAAGGATAATGTTAGTTGGACCTCACTTGCTCTACTCCCAAACATAATGCAAAGATTTTGTCTATATTAAATGTAAGTTTATTGACAGTCATCCAGGTTGCCGTTTATGTGAGCTCTTCATTAACAATAGTGTCGAGTGAGGCTAGATTAGGGTGGGGGATGACAAAAGTCGTGTCGTCAGCAGAGAATAGGCGCAAGCTGTTGAGATACACTTGGAAGGTTGTTGATGTATAAAAGGAAAAGGTGGGGACCAAGAATGCTTCCTTGTGGTACACCAGTATCCAGGGGTCTTGTTGAGGAGGCTGCATCTTTGATCGAGACGTACTGCTTTCTATTAGTAAGGTATGGCTTGATAAATGTAAGTGCATGGCCTCTTATTCCATAATGATCAAGCTTAAGGAGTAGGATGCTGTGGTCTACTGTATCAAAAGTTTTCTTAACCCTTTGAGGGCTCTTAATTCTGCCAATCCATAATATCACTTTATTTCCCAATATTAACTAAATCTGCCAAAACATCTGCTAATTAGTCTTATCATGTGACCTCCTGGCTTTTAACCCCTTGACTGTCGCGGTCGTATATATACGTCATAGGAGATACCATGTTTGATGTTTCTATACTCATAAATTCTAGCGGCTTCAAATCAAGCAGGAGAAAGCTGGTAGGCCCACATGTGAGAGAATGGGTCTCCATGGTCAGTGTGCACCATATAAAAAAAATCAGGGAGCCAGTGGTGCATTGTGGGAATGCCATTTCAGTCGTCCTTTTTCAGCATGTCTAGCGGTAAGAAATATGTGACTCCCCAGCAAATCTGGGACTCTTCTCTTCCCAAGTGATGCTCTAACACAGATGGAAGTGTCAGTGAAGATCAATTTCATAATTTCGAGGAGTTTGAGACCAAAAGCAATGGAGGAGGAGGAGGAAGAAGAAGTGGAGGAGGAGAAAGAAGAGGGGGAGGAGGCTGAAGGAAGGAAGGAGGCTGAAGGAAGGAAGGAGGCTGAAGGAAGGAAGGAGGCTGAAGGAAGGAAGGAGGAAGAGGAAGGAAGGAGGAAGAGGAAGGAAGGGGAAGAGGAAGGAAGAAGGAAGAGGAAGGAAGAAGGAAGAAGGAAGAAGGAAGAAGGAAGAAGGAAGAAGAAGAAGAAGAAGAAGAAGAAGAAGAAGAAGAAGAAGAAGAAGAAGAAGAAGAAGAATACCACATAATAATAATATGTTCCCATGAGGCATGAAAACAGTTCACCCCATGACAGTGACAAGATAAGGGGAGATAACATCTTATAAGAGCTGACGTTTGATAAGCGTAAATGAGGGTGGAGCTGATACGGAAAGATTAGATGACCATCCCCCTCCCTTTGTTTTTGCTGGTACACAAACATTTGTCTGTCTGCCAAGCTCCCTGTCTATCCATCTAGCTCTGTCTCAGAGAGAGCCACAAGACTGTGTCATCATCACATTTACTCACATCTTCAAGCAGAGTATAGCACTTTGTCTGGATTTTTTGGGTTATCCTAGGTAATTTACACTATGTATACTTGTATTTATGTGTACCTGTGAGACAGAGATAGACAGACAGACAGAAAGAGAGAGAGATATATTGAAAGAGATAGAATGAGGGAGAAATATAATTAGATAGAATGGAGGGGAAGCAGCATCAGACCCCATTGTTTTGACAGGCAGTAGGGGGAGTGAGTAATGAGACAATATGTCATTTTGACAGCTGCCCACTCCTGACTCAAAACAATTATAAACCACACACTAGCACACAAGACAAGCTTGATGAATGGAGATAATAGCATTTATATGAAAGTATCTAGTGACTACATATGTGTATATATATTATAGAAACCAGAAGCAAGAAGGGAAGGCAGGAATGAAGGAAGGACGAGATGAAAGGAAGGAAAAAAGTAAGGAAGGAGCGTAAAACACCATTGTGTATGACACCATGTTTCAGAGTTCTACAAGCTGCAGAACTTCTAGGAATATGTTCGGTGACTGTACATTGGTATATATATTATAGAACAATAGTAATAAAAAATTTTTTGTATTGTTTGTTTTTGTAAACAAGTTTTGTAAACAATATATTGATAATTATGTTTGTGTGCTTATTGTGTTGTATACAAAGAGTGTATATATGTACATTGCACCTTACTTTGGTCTCACAGGCCACATAAGTTATGTGAAAAAATAAAATAGTGAAAAAAACAACAAACCTTCAAATACAAGTAAACCAAAGTTTACCGGTGAGCGGCAGTCGCCGCTGTTGCCATACGCGGCTCATTTTCTGCAAACTTCATGCCTCTATATCTGGGTAAGTACTGATGGGAAAATTTTTTGGGGGGGACTAAAACAATCAGAAAAATAATCTTAACATTTTCATAAGAAAAAATAATTTTTTTTTTCGAATATTTTGCAACACCAGGAGACACTTCAGGATTGGGCCTTTCGACAGTCAAAGGGTTAATTCTGCCATTCCAAAAAATATTACCACCTGCACCATTACTTGTAAAAACTTGCATTTGTGGTCACAGTGGTGCCTATGCTAACCTTCCTATGGTGTAGAAATATACCTAGGTGGCTAGCTGGAGCAGTGGCTAACGCGACGGTCTGGAGTTTTGACTCTCTGACCGCGGGTTCAAATCCTCCCCCGTGGTATGGTTTGTTTGCATTCGTGTCATTACGATTTCGTGAGTCAGGTAAGGTAGATTTTGTACTAAGTTCAAATAAGATTGTAAAACACCTAACAACTATTCCTTGTCTAGTTTTAAGTACAGTGGGCCCTTGCCTAATGAACGCATCGCATAATGTTAAATCCGGCTAGCGATGCATTTTAACACAAAAATTTTGCCTCGGCTAGCGCTAAAAAACTCGCAAAACACGATTCGTTCCGTTCGAGATGCGTCCACTTGCGGCCAGAGTGCGCCTCACTTGTTCTGTGGGTGCCAGTGTTTACAAGCCAGCCACCGCGGTCGCATCCAAACATACAATCGGAACATTTCATATTATCACAGCGTTTTTAGTGATTGCACCTGCAAAATAAGTCACCATGGGCCCCAAGAAAGCTTCTAGTGCCAACCCTACAGCAAGGGTAAGAATTACTATGGATATGAAGAAAGAGATCATTGCTAAGTATGAGAGTGGAGTGCGTGTCTCCGAGCTGGCAAGGTTGTACACAAAACCCCAATCAACCATCACTACTATTGTGGCCAAGAAAATGGCAATCAAGGAAGCTGTTCTTGCCAAAGGTGCAACTTTGTTTTTGAAACAGAGATCGCAAGTGATAGAAGATGTTGAGAGACTGTTATTGGTGTGGATAAACGAAAAACAGATAGCAGGAGATAGCATCTCTCAAGCGATCATATGTGAAAAGACTAGGAAGTTGCATGACGATTTAATTAGAAAAATGCCTGCAACTAGTGGTGATGTGAGTGAATTTAAGGCCAGCAAAGGTTGGTTTGAGAGATTTAAGAATCGTAGTGGCATACACAGTGTGATAAGGCATGGTGAGGCTGCCAGTTTGGACCAAAAAGCAGCTGAAAAATATGTGAAGGAATTTAAGGAGTACATAGACAGTGAAGACTTGAAACCTGAACAAGTGTTTGTGATGAAACAGTCCTGTTTTGGAAGAAAATGCCAAACAGGACCTACATTACTCAGGAGGAAAAGGCATTCCCACGACATAAGCC